CTTAAATGTCTTGTTAAAGTAGACGACCTGTTAAAATATGCTTCAATTTTCACGTCGCGTGCTTAAAAGACTCTCTTTTTGCACTTTATTTTATTAATAACTATTTTTTCGTTAAGATATATAACAAGATTCCCAAAACTGTCCACAATAAAAAAAGAATGCTGTTCAACTTAAAATCTTATTTTTAAAATGCGTTCAAATACTTTTTAGCCGACATAAACAATAAATTGGATTTTTTGTACTTAAAACGGACAAAAATAACACTTTTAACCGCTTTTATTATTGTCTTTTTTATTAATAAATCACAAATCATTATAATGAAGGTCGCATAAAAATGTTGTGTGCACCACTGCCAAAAAGTGTAATTTTGTACTCGTCTTCTTTCTGGCCTCGGCTAACTCCTCGGCCATTAAAATCAGACTTGTCCACAAAAAGTCACTTTTTGGCCTTGGTACACATAACTATTTTAGAGTTTATAAAAATGAACAGTTCTGTTTAAAATTAATAGTATATTTTGTATTAAGTTTGATAAATCCATTTTAGACACGAATTTAATTTAGGCACGAGCGATTATCTAAAAATGATTTAAATTAAGTATTTGTATAAAGCGCCATCTATAATGCAATAGGGGAATCTGTGTTAACGTGAAATGTCAAATTTGAATGTGTTATAAACATAGATAATAAATCAAAATGTATCCCTTGAACAATGTTCATATAAACTTTTCAAATATTGGCGTTGAGAAACTATTTAAGGCTGTATTAAGACTATAAAATAATTTTCACATTTAGTATTATTTTAGAAGGGCACTTTATTTTAACTATTGTATGAAATTTGACAACTGTCAAATAACTTAGTGTTATGGAAACATGTCCGATAATGGGCGTTTTAAAGGTGGAAGTAGAAAAAAATATTAATAATTTAAGGATTACTTACTTTTAAATGTAAAAAATATTGTATATGAATACCTTATAGAACCCATTTTAAAACCTGTTAACTCTGATATAACTTATTTAACATAATGAATCCTAAGGTTTATTAATGCTTATATTGGCGGGAAATAAAATTTAACCTATGAATAAATTGCCATAAAATTATTTTTTATAGCAAATAAAATTTATTTTTGTGCTACATTAAAACGTATGGAGTTGCGGCCATGCAGTATCTGGTTTGTGGTATTTTATTTATTTATTTTTAAAAATTATTTGCAAACCAATTCTTATAGTTTTTCATTTTTGTGTTAAAAATCGGTGAAACCTGCTGCTCTAAAACGATCGGCACATCGCGATGCATCGCAGCGTCTTCATGATCTTGAGATTTTTAACTTTATTTAGCAGAGCTGACAATATTACGTTCGTTAAGGCACCTGTAGATTCTTTCAAACATGTGTTTTAAAACTTTTATTTACTGATATGTTTTAATAATGGGTTTTATACTGTAGACATTGTTGAAAATATAATACATACTTTTTACTTCCACCATTACTTCCTAAGAACTGAACATTCAGCCATTTGCCTTGTGCGTGTTAGGGGTAGGAACGGACCGCTGGCTTAAAGTCCCCTTTTTACCTTAAAACGGTTAAAAATACAGAAAAAATTTAATTTCCTATAAAAAAAGATGTATCGATCAGTCAATTCCGCCATGATGGCTGCCGTTATAAATAAACCACGCTTGTAATCGAAATGATAGAAATTTACGTTTAAACCATCCCGCATTATAATTTAGATTCTAAATTTTAAACGTTTTGTTCTTGATTATATATAATTAAAAGGGCAGGGTTGCACTTGATTTTATCTAATTAAAAAATATTGCTAATGTTGTAATCGATTATATTTAATTATTATAGGATGTCCCTTTCTTTTAGAGTTCTTTTTCAGAAAATAAATTAAATATCGTTTGGGTTGCGGTTTTTGTTGTTGGTTTATCCAAATAAATATCATTATTGTTTGTTATAAATTTTAGTGTTTTATACGTTTAACTCTCTCCCATAATCCCTTATTTTGGAAGGTTTTATAAGCGATATTTAGGGAGCCTTTCAGGTGTTTGACCTGAGTTCAAACGTGAATGTGTCTTTTATTTACTGTATTTATTATTTCCCTTTTAATACTTTCCTCATGAATACAACACCTCCAAAGTACCTTGGGTTACTATATTAATGAGCTTTATTACCATAAGTATTTATTTTATTTATTTGTCGCAATTTAATATAATATTTTCCGTGGTGCAGGGACGGATGGGCTCCGGCGGGACGCCGGGACAAATCCCGGTGGGCCGCTATGTCAGATTGGCCGAATGGACATCTAGACTGGCCCAAAAAAATTATAAAAATACACCTAACGACTTAAGCAAATTTCACCCCTTATTATTTTACATTAAACTTCTTAATTTATATTGGTTTGTTTATTTAATTTTTTTACGAAATAATAAATTTTAAATACATATTTTAAAAATGTAGCGGGTACTTGTTTTTTGTCACATAAGAATTTCTATATTATATTCATTTTAAAAATTCACTATATTAAATATTTTTATAAAAAATATGTATTTTTAGGTTATTTTTCTGTATATTAAGTAAACATTCCAATTTAAAACCCTCCTGAACCCACAAAACCCCCCTGGCACTGACCTGGTTTATACTAGTTTGTTTTCATAAGATTATAAAAGGGTCAAAAATGAACTTAACATAATTTTGGTACAATTTTTAGTAAAGTAAACCTAAGTAAGAGTGTAGATTTTTGTTTGATTACTCATATGAGTACCATCCAGAAAATACGTTCTAAACAGAAATTTTAGTTTGTTATCCATGTAATACTTGGATTTGCATAATGCGGTGTTTGTCTGTATTAAAAAAAATAAAATAAAAACAAATGGGTAAGTTAAGAGGGATTTTTGCCTATTGCTGTGTTAGTTGCAACCCCTGTATTCGCGCCTACATAGATTTTGGATTTTCAGTGTTCAAAGAGAAAAAATTTCACTTTACTTGTTCCATTCAGCCATGCGCAGGATTTCCTCCTGGGGGGCTATCAAATTTAGCTGGATGGGGAAGGTCTTTTTAAAACGTCAGATGACAAAATAAAGCGAATAAAATTGATTATTCGTTCCATTTTTGTTAGATCGAGTACAAAAAAGAATCGGAAAAAATAAGTTAGGGGGTAGCGGTTTCCATAATTTGATAATCTTCCCATCGTCACAAGAAAGGTAAAGGGGGTCAATTTTGACCATTTTTAGCTCACGAGATTTATGAAATTCCTAAAAAATATGGGTATTTTTATAAATAATTTTTCAGTATTTTAAGTGAAAATTATAGTTTAAAACCTTCCTGAGGGGGTTTGGCGGTACCTACCTTTAACAATGTATTTTCCGTCACACATATTACGCACCCCGTGCAACAAAATCCCAAAAATTCTTTTTCATATTCTGTAATAATTATGTGTCACCATGTTAAAAAAAATTACCGATTGAGAACATTACAAACAAAAATTTGTTTATAATTTGGTAAGTACCAATTTTTCTTACCAAATATTTAATCTGTATGATTTTTTTTTTCGATTCAGTAGTTTTCGCATGATAAATTTTAGACAAAAAAAATATAATTTTTTAATTTACAAAATCAATAACAGAAATATTTAATTTTGGAAAACAATTCCGCGTGAATAATCAAGGTACCCCTTCCACTCTATATGCAAATACTTTCTTTTATAGATGGCGCTCTATACAAATATTTGATTTAAATCATTTTAAAATAATAAGTATTAGTCGTAAAAAAAGTATAATATGCAACTCGTTTATAAACTTTTTTAGACACTCATTAATTTAAGCACTCGCTCGCAAGCTCGCTCAAGCCTAAATTAAATTCGTGTCTAAAATGGCGTTTATGAAAATTAATACATAATATACTATTAAATGCACTATATATTTTAAACTGTGCATTTTATTGCATTAATGCATTCAACTTTTATTGTAGGCAATTGATTTTTGCTGTTAAACAACATAGGGTTAATTAGTTTATGAATATTTAACAGTAAAATTTATTAAATATTCATTTTATTGCATTAATTCTAAAGAGCTTTTTTGTAGAAATTTGAATACTTTACCTGACACTATAACCATTTCACTGTGAAATGCAAAAATACAGTAAGGTCTAAATAATTGTAGTAAAATTGTTGCAAGTAATTAAAAATTGCATCTAATCATATACCAATCGAACTTATGTAAATTGTAGTAACGTAAAATGTCGGCAGTCTATAGGAAATTAATGGAAAATGTTTTAAATTAAGCTTTATGTCTATATAAAATTACTTTTTTTTGTTATTATATTAAAATTTATTTTCAAATATTCGTCAAGATATTATTTTACTACTTCTTAAGTATTTTAAATACGTGTTTTATAGCGTTTTGCTTTTTTGCGTTAATGGGTTTAATTTTTAATCAGTAATTATGCAATAAAAAAAGAAAAAATATCCAATTGGATAGCTAAAATATTAAATTTTTGAGTTATTAATAATATTCAGCAATTTTTGTTGTTTAAGCAATTATAAGTAAAACAATTAATGTTTTTTTTTTAATATACTTTTTTTAATTAGAGCTTATGGTGTAGTTTTACTTATAAGGTATACCTTTTATAATTTTTTTTAAATATTAAGTGTATTTTAAACTATTTTATTAAAAATAAAATTTATTATTTTTTTCTTATTTTTATTAATCGGAGATTAAAGTGCAGTTTTACTTACCAATTATATTTGTAATTATTTTATGAAAAAATAAAAGGCGTATGTAAAGGGAAATACTATTTATTATTCATATAAAAATTATAAAAATCAGTCAGGTACGAATTCATTCAACAACATCGTTTATTAACCATTAATCAAATTTTATCACTACCTACTACTATCACAGTATTAAAGCTAATAGTCCTACCTATATACAAAATATAATAATAATTATAAAATATACTGCGAACAAATATCTAGATATAAAACAATTTAAATCTTAAATTTAAGAACACTTATTTATTTAAAAAAATTTGGTCCATAATTGGAATAAAGCTGAATTTCACTATTTAAATCACTGGGAAAATTTGATCACCATGGTCTCCACATAGAAGCAGGAGGATTTTTAACTTCGGTGTTATTCCCGGGGGAGATTGGAGGTGTGAACGTTTGCTGGGGATATTGCATCTGCATGTTTTGTTGCACACAGTCCAATTGCCTTACACAGGCTCCCAAATGTTGGAGAAGCTTCCTTCCAGCCGATGGTTCGATGATTTCATTTGGGGTAGTGATAAAGTGAGTGACTTCTTGAGCGCACTGGGTAAAACCTGCTCTAAAACGATCGGCATATCCTTGCTCTTGGGGTAAGATCAGTTGGTGTTGTCTTTTAAGGTTATGGAGGTGACGCACTGTCAACTCAAGAATGTCAGCTTTTTCTAGCTTGGAGACATTTTCTCCTTCACTTTGCAAAGCTGTGACCATTAATTCCTTAAGTTCGTCAAGGCACCTGTTGATTCTTGCACGACGTTTTCTTTCAAGCATTGGCTTCATAACTTTTCTATACTGATATGTTCTTGAGATGGGTTCTTCACTGTACTCATTGTTGACAATATATGGTGTTGGGGCCATGTTGCACTAACGCACTGTATACTGTTCTATCGCACAACTTATTCCTTCGAGCTACGTTTTAAGAATGATTCCAAAACGTCACTTTATCGTTATATATGAATGTACCAATACAAGTTAGAGTGGGGCAGCGCGGTACATTCATGGTTTTCCATCCTTTGTTGGCGCGTTGTAAGGTAAATGTTCTCTCTTTGTCGAACGGCAAAGCAGTGGTTTTGGTTACGTAAAGGGTGGTCGTGACTATACGGGTGCGTTGCTATTTAATATTGCATCGGTGAAAACAATAATGGCTCAAGTGGGTTTGTCTGGAGGAATTTTTAAGTGAAGGATTTTATTAGTGCGAACCAATTTTTTGAGAACATAAAAAATTCCTTTTTTTAATAATTAATCTAATTGTAACCGGTGTATATTCAATGAATATAGGGTTTTTCATTTTAAACGAAACATTTTTTTTCTTGTTGACACATGAAAATTTTGTTTTTTAGGTTGAAAAAAAAACTTCCCTGAAAATTTGAGCCCTTAATTTTGATTCTAAGTACTTCCTTTTTAATTTTGTAGTTTTTCCATATAAAAAGCATGTATTTTTAATTATTTTTACTTTAAATTTCTATATTTTTGCCGGGTTTTGAATTATAATTTTTATCACCATAATTTCCTGCATAGTATTCACGGTTTTTGAAAGGCCCTGCATTAATTTTGTTTTTGATTTATTTACGTTGATTGTAGTAGCTCCAAAAGTCGTTTTTTCACTTTTTCTTACATATTTTTACCGAAAAAGTTAAAATAAAAAAGTTGTAGAAAATTTAATTTTTGACAAAAAAGGTGCTCACGTTCATATCACTAAAGTGCTTTGTTTAAGAGATATAAGCAATTTAATAACCAAAAAAAAGAAAAATTAGATTTTATTGAAATTTATCTATATGTAAATTGATTCAACTATATATCAATTGATTACTTAAATTTAACACAATTACCATGAAAAAAATTAAATTTCCTACAACTTTTTCATTTGAACTTTTTCGGTAAAACCAGTCATTCGCTCGATTTTCTCAAAAATATGTGAGAAAAAGTGAAAAAACGACTTTTGGAGCTACTACAATCAACGTAAATAAATCAAAAACAAAATTGATGCAGGGCCTTTTAAAAACCTTGAATACTATGCAGGAAATTATGGTGATAAAAATTATAATTGAAAACCCGGCCAAAATATAAAAATTTAAAGTAAAAATGATTAAAAATACATGCTTTTTATATGGAAAAACTACAAAATTAAAAAGGAAGTACTTAGAATCAAAATTAAGGGGTCAAATTTTCAGGAAATTTTTTTTTCAACCTAAAAAACAAAATGTTCATGTGTCAACAAGAAAAAAAACTGTTTCGTTTTAAATGAAACACCCTAATATTCATATTCATAAACAAATTTACAAAGTTTTAGTTATAATCTTAAAAAATCATAAATTAACAAAATTATAAAAAAAAATTAATTTTGTTTAATTGTCATAGCGAAAAAGCAGCCACTAATAATTCTCGTCAATTTGTATACCGAACATTTAGCAGTCAATTTCCATGTAAAAATGTCCCCTGAGTCCGAATATGTCGTCAAAAGTTAAAAAAGTAGAACAGTTTTTGAGATATAGCCAATTTTTAATTTAATATGGAATTGAATATATCTTAAAAACTGCTCTACTTTTATAATTTGTGACGGTATTTTCGGATTCAGGGGACAGTTTTACATAAAAATTGTCTGTTAAATGTTGGGGATACCATGGTAAAGTAAAAAAGTAGCCGTTAATAACTATATTAACTATTCATTTTTATCTAATTCATTTTTGGATAGTACAATGTTTACTATATTTTTATTTATATTTATTAAGTTTCCCAGTATTTTTATTTATTTCTAAAGAATTTTTTTATCAATTATGTAAAAAATTGTTATGATATAAAATCACAACCGTTAAAATAAAAAAATCGTACCGAAAAATAATCGTGCAACCCTATAAAAACTGTCGCGGCAAAGGCCAGAGAAAAAACGCACCCTTATCCAATGTCGTTTGCCCGTGTTCATCGTACGTTCGAGCGTTCGTCCGGCCCGCGCCAATATCATGCCGGGCCTTGGAAGAAAACAAAACACTGGCGCAAGCACGGCATGGCTTCCTCGGACCCTCGTGGGACGTAAAGTTCTCCTTCGTTCCCACGGCTCTGCTTACACATGCCCATGCTCTACTAAGTAGTACGAAACGGAGGTACCACCTGGCCGAAAGAACGTGTGTTCGACGGAGACGGGAGATAGCGCGCTCGGATTTGGCGTGACAGAAGCGATGCTGATGTGTAAATAAGTCACCGGGCACGAGAAGATCACAATGCCAGCGATTGTTCTATACGGGCTTTCCTTTTGTTTACTTATAGACAACAGATTTGACTACCAAAATGCAGACTTTGTACTTTTTTTCATGATTTTTAATATTAAAAAAATATATAATTCTTGCAATTTGTTAATAGATTTTACCAAACAATTAGTTTATATTATTTGTCAAGAAATAAGAAGATACAAGCCGTGTTTAGTATTCAATATGTACAGTCAGAGAAAATAGTAATGCACTTATGTAAAATTAATGAAATTTGAAGAGCTGTACTTTACTAAAACTGTGTTAAAACATCTAAAATTATCAAATTCTTAGAACTAAAAATTCTTTTAAAACTATCTAAAATAACCCAAACCATATAGGAACTTTACAAAATCTAAAAATGTTCTAAAACCGTGTAAATTATAATAATTTAATAATAATAATATTATTAATAATAAATAATTAAAAAATGATGTGCAAACAAGAAATAACGTTAAATAAATAAGATCTGTCAAAAAAATTTGGATGAGAGCATAACGAAAGTCCTAATTTGCCTCATTTTCAAAGTAACATCTAGAAAGAAGTAGGTAATGGTATTATACTAATACCTATATATGGGTATTAGGATGAAAGTTAATAAAAAACATATTACAATGTCTTACCTATACGATGTTTTAAAATTAATATTTTTAGTATTTCTGAATAATTAATTGAAGCAATCAATAGTTTAAAAATAAAAATAAAATCATTACATTTTCTTCTGTCAAAAAACTTTTAATTGTAGTCTCTCCGAGACCAATTATTTTAACGTTATGAAGTTTATAAAATATTATTTTGAATTCCAATTGTTCATGAAGTTTATTGTTGCTAGGGTTTGTAAACAAGTACCTTCAAACTCATGACATGTAAAGTGATCAAGAAAATGAATTTCTCTCGGCGGAAATCTAAGAAGCTGTTGATAATGGCACTTAAGTGCAATTGCTACTAGTGAGTAGCAAGTCAAAGTTGCAGTACGAGTTTTCGTCCAATAGTTTTTTAAGATTGTGTGATCTGAAAAATATATGGAATAATAACATGGAGTTAAGGGCATTGATGAACATAAAAAATCAGGACAGCAAATATTTCAAAATTGTTGTTTTTTAAGCTTGTCTTTTTAAGCGAAAGGGCGAAGGATATCTGCCGAAAAAGTCAAATGATAGTTTACCTACAGTAGTGGAGGTAATGCCGCTACAATATCTTTTACTCACAATTTGTGATTATTAAGGACGCTACAAAAATTGACGAGTAACGTGGAAGGGCTGGGTAGTGAATGTAAAATTAAAAACTTAACCCCGCCAGAAACTGCAACAGGCGAAAAAATTCGCCGACAACTTGTTACCCTTAAAATCAGCAAAAAGGTACAAAACATATTAGAATTAAAGCGTTAATTTTCTCCTTTATTATGATAGTCTTAGAAAGAATGGTGTATGCAACTCCCATTTAATGGGATATTAAAACACTCGCACTCATTATGACATTCGCCTTCGGCTTATGTAAAACTCATGCTAATGTCTTAATAGCCATCATTAAAGGGTCGCTGCATAATATACTATTTTTAATATTCCATATACATATTTTAAGACAAACAGACGTTTAACTTTATATAATTTTTAAACCAATAGACATAAAATTTGAGGGAAGCGAGCTTTTCTTTTTGAAACAAATTTTAATTAATACAAAAAAATAAAATTTGTTAATTATAGTTTTTAATAAAACAAACTGTGGCAAAAATACATTTGACAATCATATTGAGCTGATTTAATTTGTTTGTATTACTTTATAATCAAAATGACCTTCCCTATCGACTATTTTAATATACAGTATGTCCCAGGTTTAAGTAGCATGACTTTAGTAGCGGATTTCAAAGATTGCGACAATACACTGTATAAAATAAAAAAAAACATAAATTACCCACAATTACCCAAATTTTATAGGCATTTATATCTAAATGAATTGCATTACTTAAATTATTTTTTTTTATTGTTAATCTTAAGTAACACTGCCCTGTTAAGAAAAAAGGTGGTAACTACACCGCTCAACAAGACAATGTTCATCCACTAGCTCTTCAATAATTTGTTAATAATTAATAAAAATATGTAATCTTTTTAAAAAGATTTCAAAATACATTTATCAATGTAGAGTCTACATTGTAGACCATATAAAAATTAAATTTTTAAAGTTGCAAAAATATACCGTTATTAATTACAAATAATCATTTTATCGGCAATAAGCTATTATTTCGAATACTAAAATCCAATAAAAATAAACACTTATCAGAGTCCTTTTGATTTAGCTGAAGTCATAAATATTATTTTAAAAGTAAAGTTTCACACGGTTCGAAAAAATGTGTGACACATGAATAAGCTGAAATAAAATCCCATTTCGCCCACATTGTATAAACCAAACATTTGTTTATGCAACACTCGAGTAATTTATTTCTCTTGTATGCTTTATCTGTTTCTGATTAGTTTAGCAGTTATCATGAGGAAGATTACCGGTTCTTAGATAAACAATTCATTTTAATCGGAGCGGTAGATGTGGACAGTTTCTTTTTTATTGATGCCATTATAGATGAGTGGAGGTCTAAACGCCATTGAATAACAAAATAATATTTTTGTTTTTGCATTGTTCTCACTCTACTTTTATTATAATGTATTAAAAAAT